TATTGTTTTCTCCATCAAGAGAGATACATTAGACGGGCCTGCAAATGTACCATCAAATTCCTGTCTCAAACATTAACCATAATCCTTAAATACAAACAAGGAAGAACTTTCAAGAGGATTTAGTCAAAGGATTGGCTTGAATTTTAAATCTCAGAAAACGAACCACGTTCAATTATTATGAATTTTAAAACTTCGCACACCACTTCCTCAATCCATTGGTATTTGGAACTAAACGTGATGACCATAGCTATCGTTACATCTCCACCTCCAAAGGTCCACGACAATTTGTCAGAAGTGAAAGTAAATGTCACCTTACTGAGAAACCAATACATGAAATGCTGGACTTCCTCATAGATAACAACGATGTGGCATTTGGAGATAGCTCATTTAGGTACGGAGTAGGCATCTCCGTGGACACCAATTGCGCTTCCCCTTTATGTCGAGCACTATTATTCAAGCAGTTCCAGCCTTTCGTGTTTTCATTTCACAAGTTTTGACGTACACTCGGGCATCCTATTTCAAAGGGCTTCATATGACTTCAATACTTGTTTGATGAGGGTTACATAATTTAAGGCCTTAGTAAAGCATTCAAAACCTTTTATGGTAGATATGTGAAGGCCATTTCCAAATGTGACGCATAATATAAGTGACAAAAAAAGGACAACGCAATTCCCTATTTTGACAATTGACTTCCCTTTGCATGTGTTTGTGACGGATGCCACAAGAAGGGGGATTACATCTGGTGTCGTCGCTGTTTCATTTGAATTCGCACGGTTTTATGGTTGTAGAAAGGGTTGTGTCACTTTTACTATTATCATATAATAGTTCAGGTTCCCGTTAGGCCTAAATGAGTAATCCGTTTTGGGTTTTGCGAAATCTAACGTGTGATGCCTCCCGCTCCTACCGTGAGGAATCCAGGTAAGATATATAGGTCCCAAGAAGGGATCGGGTGGTCTGGCTCAGTGACTTTTGTTGATCATCGCTTCCCAATAGCGTGGGTCGATCTCATGATGCTTAATGGACTGTCTGGTTCAGATTCGATTATTATCGACCGCCGTCACATAGTTGGAATATTGGTGATTGGTGGCTTTAAACAACAAACACACAAAATCCTAAATCATACGCTCATCTACCTATGAAATATGTAACAATGGAGAACTAACTCGCGCTTGCGTACACTAAGTATTCTAAAACCAAATTGTCACTCTGTGCTTTGATCAAAGCGAAGAAGGCTTACACTTTTGGACAAAGGGAGACATTGCCACAATACTTAATCATCCTTGCCCCCAGCTTGACTGTTAAGATTTTGGCAGAAATGTGTCATCTTTGGCCTTGAGGTTTTAGTGTTACCATTCCTTGGCCCAATGCTTTATAAGCGAACATGACTTCGTTGGCCAGTGCTATTGATTTTTCCTCTGCCTAATTGAACCAAAGGCTTATTAGCCTTCAGGACCTCATACGTACACGGTTGTAAATTGTTTCAACCTCACTTTCCTATCGGCGCAGTAATTACGTGCCACTAGGTGATGCTGGTCCTTCGACTACCGGGAAGCTTGGAAATCCCTAGGTACGCGCGACTCAAACACGACAGCCCTGAATTCCTTTGATCAAAGTTTAATGAATGTCAATTAGGGATTAACAATTATGGCTTGGGGCGAAAGGTCAGTACAAATGGCTGACACTGAAGTAGATATTATCAGAGTAATTTTCCCTGGATGTAGATGTCAGGATTACTTGGGTACAGTGGAAATGCAATTTAAATCCTTGGTAAACCCCTCTGTGGGTCTTGTTTTCTTAATAGGAAAATAGCATCCCTAGCGTCTTAGCGTGTACATGGTTGTTCGCCCTAATACGTTAGCATGCCGGCAGCATTACGACGGGAGATACTAAATGGGTTTTGCGCGCTGTATCAATGTAGACAACTAAAGCCAGATTTTTGTTTGTTTGTTTGTTGTTTAACGCCGCACTCAGCAATAGTCCAGCTATATGACGGCGGTCTGAAAATAATCGACTCTGGACCAGACAATCCAGTGATTGATATCATGAGCATCGATCCACGCGATAGGGATCGATGACATGCATCAACCTAGTCAGCGAGCCTGACCACCAGATCCCGTTAGTTGCCTCTTACAACAAGCATTGTCGCCTTTTACCGCAAGCATGGGTTGCTGAAAACCTATTCCACCCCGGATCTTCACGTCTTTAACGAATGCGAACGTTTTTATCACTAGGCCACCTTTCCGCAGGCACGGTACGCATCATGGTAGTAGGTGTGTGATTCTGTCGGTCACTAGTCATAGATCTAAAGAAAGCATTTATAGAAAACAGTTTTATATTTAGTGCATTCGATTTTCATTTTTGATATAATTCGCCCCGATGAGGTCCAGCTCGTCAGCACCATAGGTTCTCATGGGTCTCAAAGCAGTGGGAACTGTCTATGATCACTATCACTTTGGGCCACGCTAACACGCCCTGATAATTGTAATGGAGTGCTGTTCACAGCGGCGTTAAACACAATTCATTCACCTCTTCGGGTACCTAATTTATTGAGGAGTTTGTTTGGTCTGCACGTTTAGTGCCGGTTGTTATATACATGTAGGCCTTCTCATGTTCATATTCTTTTTCAAATAACAAAAAAAATGTTTTTTTAACAAAATAGGTAATCGATGGAACTTTTTCTGAAGAGAAAATATTCACTTTCATAACCATTTGGGTTGATCGTTCATTGCTAAGTTTAGAAACGGTTGATTTGTAAACACTATCGATCATTGTATTGTTAGGAGGTCCATAAGGCAATGCCAGCTTCAAGACATCAATAAAACGACCAAGTGCAAATATGCCCAACCGATAGTCTGTTCATAAGTTCCACTTTAAATAGCCCTGATCAATGTACAATGCTGTATAAGCAGAAGAGCCCTTAACACAAACACCATGATGTTTAGGTTGAACATTCATGACTCAACACGCTTAACTCTGTCTTATACAGTTCTTGAAACGAAGCATGCACAAGCTAAACACCAGTGTATATGAACAAGTGAGATATTGTGAGTTACAATCGTCGAGTGCAAAACATTTGAAGATTACATTGCAAAACATTGAGTTATCCATTATTCAAATACGCTTTTCTTTCTCATGCAGTTCTGGAACCTAAATATTGGGGAAGTAAAGGTAGAGTGTGTTACATGCGACAAAAACACAACATTTGAATATAACAATTCCACATATACAATTATCCTAAATTCACACATAATAAATACTCTCGGTCCCATTTACAAAGCGATCATAGTGCTACGACTGTCGTAAGTCTCAGGACCCGTGACGATCCGGGGTAGAATAGGTCTTCAGCAACATGCTTGTCGTTAAAGGCGACTAACGGGATCATGTGGTCAGTTTCGCTGACTTGGTTGATGCTTGTGATCGTATCCCAATTGTGTGGATGGATGCTCATGATATCAATCACTGGGTTGTCTGGTCCAGACTCGATTATTTTCAGACCGCCGTCATATAGCTGGAATATTGCTGAGTGCGGCGTTAAACAACAAACATACAAAGATCTGGGTTCAGTTGTCTACATTGATAAAGCGTGCAAACCCCATTTAGTGTACATTCAACTCTCATGGAGACGGTTCTTGACCTAATGCATACACTGGTTAACATAGCCTACAGATTATTGTTGTGGAGAAATTTATGAATTAGGCTTTCTTTGAAGTTAACAGAAGCGAGGTTCGCGGAAAGACGATGGGTGCAAACTGAGCGAAATCAAATAAACGAAGACTACTGTCGATACTGATCTAATACAGAAGTAGCCTTTGTTCACCATAGCTGAGTTTGTTAGTGCGGTAGCGGTGCTCTGCAAGAGTATCTTGACTTGACTTAAGAAATACCATGACTCGTTTGCAAACGTAGCTTCGTTTTGAACGACATTCGAATGAAACGTCGCTTAAAATAGCCATACTGTCAATTTACACGCACTTTGCTTGTCGTAAGAGACGACTAACGGGATCGGGTGGTCAGGCTCGCCGACTTGGTTGAAACATGTCATGGTATCCCAATTGCGTGTATCGATGGTCATGATATTAATCACTGGATTGTCTGGTCAAGACTCGATTATTTACAGACCGCCGTCATATACCTGGAATATTGCTGAGTGCGGCGTTAAACAAACAAACAAACAAACAAGCAATACACGCATGGGCAGGACAAATGCTGTGTTTAGTAAATGATTAGAGAGTTTATGATGGTGACGTCACTTCCAAAATGGAGCTCGATCCAGGGCATTTTCAGAATCGAAAGTTCATGCACCTGATAATCAAGGAAGTCCGAAGTTTACGTTACAATAGTATAAAGTTTAACCCTGATGTCATGCCTGCTCCGTACCCGATTGAGACCGAATTGTACTTCATTCAGTCAGGAATTGAGTCCGTTTGAAAGCTACTTAAACAATTAGAAACGGTTATAGAGCTATATGTTTCGCCTTTGTAGAGTGACATGCATATTACTAAATGTACCGAAGCACCCATTCACACACTAGTTGATTGGCACTACCTATATTCACATTTAAAACTAATTATTACGCGAACTGGTATATGTAAGTAAAAAGGCATTCATAAATTGACGATATATTAATGTACTGTCGCGAACACTTGGTATCATCACTATTTGATATTCATACACCATGTTTATGATAATATATTCGGAATCGTACAATGGACTCTATACTTAGCTGTATCTATAGTTTAATCAATCAACATTATCTTGAATGACGTTGTCTTAAGGTAACATATGTCACAATACATATATTTTGCTCTGTGCTTTGCAATGCTAGGTGTACATTCGTTACTTTTTTTTGGTAGGATGTAAGAGTATTTGTAATATGTTCAGTGTTGTATCTTAGTATTCATCACTTAAAACAACTGAGGTGTCTGAATAAGTGTAACATTTGCTGTGCTGTGTCTGAATTTGATTACCGAATATATATTCCATACGGTCCATTTTTTCAGAGGCGACGTTATCAAACCCATCCCCACTACGTCAACGGCGCAACATGCACGACGTTTGAAGAGCGTATCGGTCTGGACAACCAAGCGGGTGGTGACAAAAATGATGAGGTCGAAGCAGCTGCAGTCTGAGGAACACCTGGAGAAGGCTTGGAGGAGTCCACATGGACATGCATCTCATTTTGGGACCAATTTGGACCATCTGAAACCACTTCAGCTTAGCCGGGACGACTTCAACTCGTCATCATCACCAACGCTAAGGATCACCATGGTCCTTAGGACCGCTTTTGGTCAGCTGGAACAGGAGCCCTTTTTAACAACATCGCTCAGCTCTGATTGACCTCCAGCTTCTTTTGGACCACTTAAGGTCGGCTTGAAACATTAGCTTCTTTGGGACCAGGTCGGGTCAGCTGGAACATGGGTATGTTTGGGACCACTTGCCTTTTGGGGACCACTTTAAGTCAGCAGGGACCACCAGCTGCTTTGAGACCACTTTGGGTCGACTTGGACTACCATCTCCATTTGGAAATATTTAGGTCAATTTGGGCCACCAGTTTCCTTGGAGCATATTTGAGCAGTTGGACCGGAGATTTGTTTGGGATCACTTCTGGTCAGTTGAGTTAAGATGACCAGCTTAGTTTTGGAGATAGCGTCCCATCACTTGTAACATTGTAATTCTGCTGCGGGAGAGTGATGCTACCCAAGGCAGATGAATTGACGCCTGAAGATCACTTGATTTCTAGAAACCATAGAAGAATCTGTAATAGGACATAAGCCTCACGCAGTTTTTTCTTGGTGTGTCATGATCAGAGATAACGTTTTGATGGACCACACTGGTTACATATGCCAGGATTGACATAAAATTGTTTTTTCACAATGACGTAGTGTGATCACTGTCGTCAACAACTGTCTCAACCGGGACATATTTACAAGGTTTGCTTGGACACATAGTGTTGTAACGACATGCAATTTGCAGTCTGAACGTTTATGCTGAAGAATAAATTACCCTACAGATGTTACGAATGTCGTGTTTCGTACAAGTATCAAGTAATGGTTTTACTGTCAGTGGATATTGGTACCTATCTAATAAAGGTAGTACAGTTCCGAATAGGACGTTTTTCCGTGGGGTAAGGTTTTGAACGGGTCGTGATTCTGTACTGAGTCATATTAACGGTTGGTGATTGAATAATACTTGCAACTCTGTCATTTAAAGAAATATCGGTGCGCGGTGGTCACGTTAATATCTTCTGAATTGCATACATGGAATACACTAAGTTTGTGATTACATTGCCACAATTTGAAATACCCCAATGATTCAGTCACCTGTACAAAGTCTACGAAGAGAACACAAATTGAAATTGTATGCGTAAACAAGATGAATGATTTTGCTTTGTTTCGCGGCATGTTTACAAACAAAGAAATCGTCTACACTTCAGACGAACTGCTGGAAAGAACAACTTTGGTCACATTCCAGTAATGGAAACGGAGATAACAGGTCGGAACACATGCTTGAACTGTGTTGGACTGTTCATGATAGCAGTATCCCAGAAAACTTTGTTGCACTTCCATCACATTTTGATTGTGTGACGTGAGTTCGGTAGCGATCAGCCGAACCTTGATTGGTTGTCATCACATTTAATTAAAATCAGACCTCGGTTCTCGCTACCGCTAAACAAAGATCTGAGGACATCCCATTAAGGGTCACGTCAGAACGACCTTCCATCCTACCAATCAGAGCATCGCTTACCAGATCATGAAAGTGACAGTCGGAATGTGATTTCTAATCATGCAACCTCGAAAACTTTAACTCCGAGCGATAGTTACGGGTTTAACGACTGAATCCATACAATCTAGACCATCTGTTAGCCATTCCAGAATGTTCTTTTGTTCAGGTTTCAAATTTGTAATCAAGAATTTGTCAAAATATGTTTCGATGCGGTCGCCAATTTGAAATAAGTGCCGTAAAGCACGAGAAAGCTGCCTTCTGATTGGTCATTCCATTGGTCGGTCAAAGTTCGCGCAAGGTCGGTCTGACGTGACCCGTAATGGGATGTCCTCAGATCTTTGTTTAGCTGTAGAGAGAACTAAGATCTGATTTTAATGAGATTGGTTGGCATCAAGGACCAAATTAAGCGACTGGATGTTGTTCAACGCAGTGAGGATATTCACTTTGTAAATAAATAGTCTTTAAAACAGTTGTTGATTGCAAAAAACGGTGACGTCGATGACACGTTATCAGCATGGGTCACACAAAGTACCCGTCCGATTGCCATTACAATATCCTGGGATATATTGGGAACTGGGGGTCTTTGAACTATAATCCCAGTTTGGATTGACCCGAAAGGAAAATGGACTGTAATTTCGTTGTATTTTGACTGATTAGGACAAAGATCACATTCAAAATAACCTTAATTTTGGTGATTGTGCTTAAAATTGAATTAAAAATATTTTGTCTATCACAGGACACGGGCGCATTTAGTCTCAATTTAGATCAATCTTGTTCTGCACAGTCCAATGCTTGTATCACTGAACTGTTGTGTAGTTGCAAATGTTTTTTTGGAAATATATATATCTTTTGATTGGGCAAGATCTGTGACAAGAGACGTGGAAGTGTATAAAATGGACGCCGAATGACACCACGGCATCTTAATATAGGTTCAGGTTTTTTTAAGATGAGTGAACTGTGATTGTGAAGTACGCTGCATTTGGTGTGTTCCGGTACACGAAGACTGCTGACGTCATCGATATTGTGCCTTTAAGCTGGGACCAGTGCGTGGCAAGAAATAATGAGAATCAAGAGGGTGTATATAATAAGGATACTACTTTTGTATTATTTGTAGCAACGTTTGTAATACATTGGAATACCTGCCATTCGAAAGCTTGTTATATATCTACATGATCATATATAGTTTTATCAAATCACATGGTGTTTGTTAATATTGTTGTTCAATGTTTGTGCAAGTGATAATAAACGACAATAGTTTTAAAAACCGTTTTGTTCGTCGTCATTTACTGAACTTAATTAATCTCAAGTCTACATCGAGATCAGGTATGTTGCTGATAGGTCAAGCACCATAATCGGACTTAGTGAGTGTTTTAAGCCGCTTTGAATAGTATTGCAATTAAAAGTACGGCGTGTCACCTTGATGAGGAAGCAAAGCCCGAAATGATGCTGGTGAAATTAACGAGTATAGATATGGTTCGGACAAACCTATACCGAGTAAGGCGGACAGGCATTCGAACCCACCATCTGACCCAGGGGACTGGCTCGCCGAAGGGACTACGCACAGCGAATTGGAAAGCAGTTTTGTAGCAGCTCAATGCGACTCCTTTACAGTACATTCAGTGACTGTGCTCATGTTATACTTATAGTTATCTCCTAGCGCCCTGCAAATGACCGAGTCCAGGCAAGTCAACCCAGTGTTTGCATGAACAATGATTGACGCCGTCGGAACCCGATGTCATGCGAACAGCCAGTTCAAACCACCCGATTAAAATGTAGTCTGATCTCACGATAAACAGGGAGTGCTTTTCTAAACAGGAATCCCCAAGGTCTAAAAATGTTAATATTTTGAAAAAGAATGCATTTCACATTGCAAATCAGTCCATACACTAGGAATTCAGTTTTCTCACACGTATAATACTAAAACGGGATTTTCTAATCATTTCGTCAATGAATCTGCCACCCAAAGAAACCACAGAGGGTGAGATAGCATCAGGCCCCTTTGGCGCACGCTGGAAATGCCAAATGAGGTAAATTGGCCGACTTTCTCAAATCTAAGATTGTTTACACTGATAATGTGTCAAGACGAACGTATGTACGGTCTGATGAGTGAGTGAGTGAGTGAGTGAGTTAAAGTTTAACTTCACATCGGCAATATTTCAGCCATATCGTGACGAAACAAAATTTGACATTAACAATATATTTTAAACTGTATAAAATTCTGCCGACGAAGGGCAGTATAATAACTAAAATATCGAAGATTTACATAAAACTTGTTAGAGAGCTTATAAAAATATATTGGCATTTTGTAACACAATATAAAAACAGGCTATAGATCGCCAACAACTGAAGGTACATGTAGATCACCACGCTAGGTTCCATGGGGACTTACAGTACTTTTTCTACCTGCATGGACCCCAGTTGGATTTACATCATCCCTTCAGTTGTTGGCGATGGCTGACAATTTTAGCCACACGTTAAAATAATACATATGCTACGATTAAAAAACGTGGTCGAAATAAATAATTTATTTATTATACTTTGAAAGACGTGGTCTTACATACCCTTTCAGGGGGACAATCATTTTACACTACTTTAACCCCCTTCGAGGTTAAAGCCACTAACAATCTTAGTTATCACATCTATTCTGCCAATGAAATGTCCGGACTATGGTGTGTCCGGACTCTGGTGTGTCCGGACTCATGAAGGTGTCCTGGCTACCGGCTATTCAGTTTAATGATGTGTCCCGACTACCTAGTGTTCGGTCTGCCAAGTTCCGATGGAAGCAAAGGAACCGTAAGATGGAACTGATGGAATAGGTCACGCCTTTCTGTCGTGAACCTCGATGTTGCAGTGCTAATGGCAAAATATGTCGAATAAGGTATCTCGCTTTGATGAGGCATTCCACTGAAAAGGTTTCACGAAATTACAGGCACCGTTTTTCATGCAATTACTACATTGTTCCTTTCTGAAATGTTGTAAAGGTACTCACTCGAACGGAATAGTAATTGTATGCGCAACGTAGCTCAGAAAAGATCAGTCGACACAAATTAGCTGCGGGGCGAGAATGCAATTTCTGGCAATTATCTGCCAAGAGCATCTGCGCAATATAATTCAATATAAAACTTCTAAGTGTCTAGGGGTTTACTTGCAAGACACGAACTGACTGTCAATTTTGCACCCGACGTTGGTTGGTTGGTTGGTTGGTTGTTTTACGCCGCACTCAGCAATATTCCAGCTATATGACGGCGGTCTGTAAATAATCGAGTCTGGACCAGACGAATCCAGTGATTGACATCATGAGCATCGATCCACGCAATTGGGATCGATGACATGCATCAACCAAGTCAACGAGCCTGACCACCCGATCCCGTTAGTCGCCTTTTACGACAAGTATAGTCGCCTTTTACGGCAGGCATGGGTTGCTGAAGACCTATTCCACCCCGGAAACACCATCTATTATATGATGTATAGCTTTTCTTCTGCTGTGCAACAATTCCTGAAAGCGAATTGATACATCTTAAACTTCCCACAAGCAAAAGGTTGGTTGGTTGGTTTGTTGTTTTACGCCGCACCCAGCAATATTCCAGCTATACAAGCAAAAGGTATAGATCCATGTTAAAACTGTGGGGTACATGTAACTGTACATTATCGTGTGGCTAAGGGACAATGGTGTAATATTAATTTAGTTGGAGATATAGAAATGCAGTCATAAATGCCTTGTCAGTCAAAATGATTGAAATCAACAACAAAACAAAATCACCATGATGAGTCATGGGTCTTAAGAACACAAAAAATATACTGAACGTCAACCTTTATGCACAAAGCCATGCATCATACGTGCCGTCTTACACTAATCCAGTATTACATCGATTCTATGCTGTTATAAGATGAGACATCGGAGCTGAATGTTTCGTATTCGTTTCAGAGTAACCCTGAAATCTAATATAATTCGTATTGACAACACAGATCCATAAAAGGCGTTACAATAAATCGTATTATCAGCAAATATCTTAAAAAGCGAAATCCTGAATAATAGAATTTTCACAACACGGCCATGACCTATGGCGTTGTGGCATTGTTTGTTAGTTTGTTGCTTTTCGACGCACTCTACAATATTCCAGCTTTATGACGGCGGTCTGTAAATAATCGAGTCTGGACCAGACAATCAGTGATTGATATCATGAACATCGATCCACGCAATTGGGATACCATGACATGCATCAACCAAGCATAGTCACCTTTTACGGCAAGCAGGGGTTGCTGCAGACCTATTCTACCCCGGCATCTTCACGGAGATAACGCAACTGCGATACAATAACATGCATCAACCAAGTCAGCGAGTCTGACCACCCGATCCCGTTAGTCGCCTCTTACGACAAGCATAGTCGCCTTTTACATCAAGCATTGCTTGCTGAAGACCTATTCTACCCCGGATCTTCACGGGTCTGATGGTTTCTCTCAAATATTGATCGATGGGGACGAGTGTTCAGTTTAATGCCAATTTGGGCTCTCTCTGAATAAATCATATCGGTCTCATGTCAGATATCTCTGTTAGCAAGAAACTCAACAGACAGATTCGTTTGAATTCTACTTAAAGAGCAAAACCCGTGGTTTGTATCATTTCCTTGCCGACAAAAATGCGATTATTGTGATAAAAGCAATTGCCAGCACGACATAAGTCTGCGATCTTTGAGGAGAGGCATGCACATCATATTTCATCTTACCTTTCCTAGTTAAGTAGAACTGTAGGAATTATTTGTTCTGCCTGCAATTTGCCTTTGAAGTATAAGAGTCCCCGTAAAAGATCTGGGGAATTCTAACGACACAACCATTTCCAGAATTATACTAATTGTTTGCTTAAAGCAGATTCCATTGCACGAATCCGACTATATTATATTCAGGTGTTTATATTTGTTTGTTGTTTAACGCCGCATTCAGCAAAATTCTAGCTATATGACGGCGGTCTGTAAATAATCGAATCTGAACGAGTGATTGATATCATGAGCACCGATTACGCAATTGAGATCGATAAC